CACAGACAACCTCTCGTCAATATGCGTTTTTTGCATTGCATAGCTGCAAAAAACGCATAAAAATAAGCAGCATTCTGCACCAAATTTGCGCAAAATCGTTTACAGGAGAAATATCCAATGCTTCGCAGCCTGATATGTGCACTGGAAATTTCCCGGTTGGTCTTTTCTTCCACGTTCGCAGGAGAGAGCTACTGGCTGAGCTAATTTGGGAAGTTTTAGTTTTCTAGCATGTCTGTTGATCATGCAAGGATGGCGATAATTCTTAAAAAATAGCACAGTGATGTGTGCGAATGAAAAATACATGCATGGGGAGCACAAACTTATTTCATTTTATGTCTGCCAATCTAGCAGATGGACAGCAAGCACTGAACCAGAAGTACAGCTTTCTGCTCAGTCTGGTCTCGAGTTGGCATGGTATTATCAACAGTTTTGCAGCATGAAAGGTGACGTGCCCAATAAACGAAATATACAGGTACGTGAAAGATAATCTTACATTTCTTAAGTCGCACGTACAAAGGTGATATTCTCGTAAAATTTCACTTTCTCACCAGTCTGGTACCCGAAATCGCCTTTGAACAAGAATATCTTTAAGGTGTCCGCAAGTGGGAAATTAAGAGGATGTGAATACTCGTGGAATATAGAAAAGGAAAAGGGAAAAAAAAAACGGTCCAGGAGGCCTAACAGAAACGAACCGACATAAAGCCGACACGTAAACTGGTATTTCACGGTCGTAAAAAGACCGAAGCCTAGAGAAGTAGAATTAGATGTAAGAAGGTGATGGAGAAGACAGTTCAGCTGCTAAACCTTTAGACATGTAAAGTGGTCATGTTCAAGAAGTATGTAGAATCGCCTGTCTGTGTTTCACTCCAGAGGTGTAAACACAGACAGCGTAAGATGTGATCAGAGGTGGGAATCATCAGTACAGCCCCCTAACCATCATGTAAAAGGTAAAATTGCGCCTAAGAACTTAATCTACCCATGACTGACGGATTAAGCAGCCAAAATTTTGGCTTCATAGCTTCCATACATCTAGAGACAGAAATATGCGAACACTGCACAACACACAAACATATCATACCAGCAAAAAAAAAGAGAACTCTCCAAATTTAAAAGAAAATATTTTACATAATGATGCAAAAAAGCAATTAGCCTGCTTTAACAGCAACTAGAGTGTTAATGGAAATCAATAGCTAGATATTTTGCACTTGTGTAGGCATGCTCTTGCATAAATATGCTCGTTAACTCCACTTTTCCTGTTTTTCCTTCCGGCACGGGCGACTTCTGCATCATTCTCAGAAGAAAGCAAAGACAATCAATCTCTCATCCTCTTGCAAAAGTATCAGTTCGTATTTAGTCCCGGATTACTTTGACATTGTTCACATAAATCTCTGTGTGAACAAGCGTTTTGAGCACAGCACACAACTATGACCTCAACGAGCCCAATCCAACTTATGCTTTCCCCAGTCCTAACAAACGCTATTAGCTAACATGGATTTTAATTTTTTTAGCAGATCCCCAGTTTTTCTCGACGGCTAACTGAAAAACTAAGTAGTTTTTCTTAAAAGTAGATAAGCATGGCTCTTCAGTGTATCCGAAACAGTGATAAACAGGTTTAAAAATGTTCCCTGGAGATTCAAATTTGGACGACTTAGTGGCGGACAACCAGTACATTAGAAAAAGTAATTTGAAAACTGAGAGGAGCATCCCGACTTCTTTGATTTAATTTACCACAGAAACCTAAGAAATTCTGAACTAAGATACGTTTGATTCAAAATTCAACTTGTGAAAGAACTCTTTTTTCAAGGTTGCTGCTTTTTGGAGCAGTTATGAAAACAATAAAAAGAAAAGAAAGGAATCTGGGTGTTGTTTTGGTCGCTCTGCTAGGATGTACTAAATTAAAAAATACATACTCATTTCCGCGCGACGGCCTTTCATCGCGTAAATATATTTCGTCGACAAGAAGACGTTGCAGAAATGTTCAAACGGATTCGCCTTCGAAAATGCCTCCAATCCGCGTTCATTCAAGCACAGAGCTGTGAAAGTGTTGGGCAGCGTAGCGATCACATCTCGCGATGTAGGAAGCTAAAAGTACACGCATACATACTCAAACTACAGGAGGCCGGAGGAACACGGAATTCAAGTGCTTTGACAGTGCAACAAAATTATGAGAAAATAAACCTCGTGCTGGAAGATGGCTTTCATGACTGCATCCGTGAGACCCTTCTCTTGCAGCGACGTTAGCATTGACGGCTGCTGATAGATGAAATCGGTGGTGAGGCAAACCGCTGCAAAATTAGTGTGATTATTAAAACTGCACATTACACATACTTGGTTTACATGTGACGGGTATCGATAAAACGGAAATTTCACGAACTCGAAATAACAGCACGGTGGTGAATATCACAAATGCAGAAAAGAAACGCAACAGCAGCAACGGGTGAGATATCTCATCACTGTGGTGTAGCGCAGATGCAGCGTTAAAAACGAGGTAATGATGCAAAACATGCACTAATGACGCTCGAAACGGCCGAAACTTTGCCAAATGCTTTTGGCAGGGAGAATCGCTCAGATGAAACTCATTTCCGAAGATGAAAAATTGTCAGGATCGTCACCAGACTGACACCGTCAGGCGACGCAGCTTTCACCGAAGTAAGACGAATCTAGCATCCAGGTTGACCTTGGGTGCCAAACTGTCGGAGGAGTACTGGAAACAAAGCAGAATGAGGAAAGGAGGCGGAAATGAGATAAGACATTTCGGTCCATTAAGTCATATACATCTTAACTCAACACTGCGATAGGACCACGTCACTACGACGATCGCAGCGTTTAATGAAAGAGAAAGAGGAAGAATAAAGAGATAGAGGAAGATGAAAGGAAAGAAAGGGAAAAGCTGTGACTGCAGGATTAGGGAGGGGGATGAGAACAGGGTGAAAAGGAGTAGATGAAAGAGGTTTAAAACGTTGTTAGCCTCACAGATCGAGAGTGAGAGATCATAAACTGGCAGCTATACCACAAAATATTTGGTCGCAAACAAGCTTATACTGTCAAATGGTGCTGCTTTCGCTTAAACCTTTAATCCGCCAATGAAAGAAACCAGTCTTTTCGTCACTTTTTTGGCAAGCAACTTTCGAAGAAAATCGGCAAAAGCCTTTCTGTTACCGCTGAAAAGCTGTTGTCGAGGCCGAGCATCTTCATTTTTCATAAACGCATACGTTTTCCACTTTGTTGGTTGCTGATCAGAGATTTTTAGAACAATTTTTTTTTTTTTAAAAATCAGGCCGATTCACCGTTATAAAAGAGTGATGCGCCGAAAAAACGGCAATTCGCCAAAATGTCCATTAAGGCATACGGCAATCCACCATCCATTACTGCAAAAAAAAGCAAAAAAGTGATTAGGCTATTAAAATCACAAAATAAATTAATAACACATCTTCGTTCGAACGCGAGAAAAAAAAATTACTCGTGCAAATGGTCCAACATCTCTTGTTGGAATGCCACTCAAAGCCGGTTTAATTCCGCCGCCAGTACTGAGATGCTCTTACCTCTTTGCCGTGCCGGTGGTACTATGCCTTATGAAGCCTCCGAACTTATTCGGCAACTACGATTTCACGGTCAGGTAAGTCTTCGCCAATCGTTTTA